AATTACGGAAACTCCTGAATCTACTTTGATTTCCGTTAAAACGTTCTGTGTGGGAACACGGGGTACCGGTGCAGGTATGGAGGCCAGTGTCCCCCCAGAGGGTTCTCCAGACTGCCTGATAGGTGTGGCTAAAGTCTGTATGCGGTCACCCAATTCTGTATAACCCTCCTGTAGGGCCCTAACCACTACTGTGAGGGTCGCCAAATGTCGACATATGTCATCCAGAGGGGAAGTTCCCCTTCCAGGCTCAGTCATGGCCGCAAGGTACTGTCAGACACCGCTCGGCAGGATCTCTAGTGATCCACAGAACGGGATTCCCCAGGACGCGGAGTCTAAGTCCCAGTCTGCCTTTTCACCAGAGCCCCTGATGGTGGGGATGGACTTGGTGCAAGACTGAAACCAGGTCGCAACCCCTGAGTGCACCCAACTCTGGTAGAGGGGTCCCGCTGAGGTATGTGCCAGGGGTGAGCCTGATGTGAAGAGGCTGACAAGTCCAGGTCCCGAGCGGGATGGATGGATGACAGTCAGGAGTGAGCATGGTCAGACTAGCCGGGTCGGTAACGGTGGAGGTGGGTAGGTACCAAGCAGTAGACAGAGTAGCTGGGTCATGAGCCAAGGTTCAGCAACGGGAGGTCCAATAGTAATATTAACGACAGGCAGAGGAATAGTCAGGGACGAGCCGGGGGTCAGAGCAGGAGAAGGTCAACACAATTCAGGACAAGCAGGATCGGCAACAGGAACGCACTTCAGAAACACAGGTACAGGAACTAGACCTTGCGGCAACTTGATCACCGCCTGGTCAGTTTAAATAGTGCGCCCTGCACCGTCATTGGTGCCAGGCGCGCGCGCCGCGTGCGCAAGCGTGGCCACAACTGCTGCCGCGGATGCCCAGGTCCTAATGCCAGCACATTGGTGCGCCTAGGCAATCTGCGCATGCGCAGACCTGTGCGCCGCAGCGAGACCCGCAGTCCCTGACAGATGCCAGTCAGTGTCGCCTATCAGTGCTGTCTATTAGTACCCATCATCAGTTCTGCCTATCAGTGCCACCTATCAGTGCCGCCTATCCGTGCCGCCTATCCGTGCTGCCTATCCGTGCCCTTCAGTGCTGCCTATCAGTGGCCATCAGTGCCGCCTAATCAACGCACATCAGCGAAGGAGAAAAATGACCTGTTTGCAACATTTTATAATCGAAACAAAGAAACTTTTTTTTTTCAAATTTTTTGCAATTTTTTTGTTTATAGTGCAAAAAGGAAAACACCCAGCGGCGATTAAATACCACCAAAAGAAAGCTCTATTTGTGAGAAAAAAATTATAAAAATTTCATATGGGTACAATCTTGCATGACTGCACAATTGTCAAAGTGCGACAGTGCTGAAAGCTGAAAATTGGCCTTGTAAAGAAGGGGGTATAAGTGCCCTGTAGGCAAGTGGTTAAATAAGCTCACTAGCAGCAGCTTTAAATATCACAGGCAGCATAAAAATGTAACCCTATTGAAATCGGTGTGTAATTCATACTTTTTGTATGGGCAAAATCAAATTCCTATCTTACTATGCTGAAAATACATGGGGGGATGGCATTCCCAGATCCCCTCAAATATTATCACGCTGTCCACCTCTCCAGAACGATTGCCTGGTGCAGAGCGTTTGTAAACAATGGCTGGAATCTGAACGATCCTGCACCAATATCTCACTGCAATGCCTACCCTGGATAGAACCTAGCTTACTAGGGGTCCTTAGGGGTCACCCTTTAATGGTGCTACTTCTAAAAAACGTTACCAATAACAGCGACTTTCAGGCTCACGGTTTGAAATTACCCTGGCTGCTCCCAAAGCGTGGCAATTCCCAAAACATGTAATTCTTAGGAATAACTTGCTTAATTCTGTCCAAACAAAAGTCCAATAAACATCCCGGGTATGATAAAGTTTGAAACACAAAATTATAAATTATACAATAATAATTATAAAAAAAATATAATAATAATACATTTTATTAAATAATGTAATCAAACCAAAAACACTGAAATTTAAAATAGAGAACCAAGCTCGCACATCACTGAGCTCAGTCGCAGAATCGTTTTCAGTGTCTGATGATGAATTTCCCCACTAATCACTCGGGGTTACCGCTTTTGGTACTGAAATTAACCCAGAGCTACACTCGGGATTACCGCCAGGAAGGTTAAAAATGTGTTCTGGATATTGCCACTGCAGACAAAGAACTGTAGACAGCTGGCATCATCCATTCTGAGCACATTTACCCATGCAACTTTAACCTCTTCACCGTGACTAAGGGTAAAACAAATGTTAATTGCGCAAACATGCCTATGCAACTTTGACACGTGTTAGTAAAACTGTACATATCATCGCAACTATTTTGTGCATCTAGGTGGATTATGCCTTGTTTTTTTTTCAGGACAAAATAGGGATTCTTTTGGTAGCAAACGATAACAAATATCTCCTGATATATTTATTTTATTATTATCTGTACTAGGGCCCATTTTGCTATTTCTTACCATGGCTAAAACACTCTGACACGAATGTCCACTAGTGTGAGCCTAGCCTTACTATTTTTTTTTCTTACATATTTTATTTTATATTTTTAACCAAATAAAATGTATTTTTAAATATTTTTTACATTTTCTTTTTTTTGGGGGGGGGGGGGGGCTTTGGAGAGACATCAGGGGTCCAAACAGACCTCTAATGTCTCTTTTTTGAGACTGAGAAAAGGACCTGGCAGCACAAGGGTTAAAGCGCTACTGACCATTTTTTAAACCAAATAGTCTATGTCATCTGGTAAGAGGCTTGTGCTTTATCTTCTCAGGTGGTGTTAACACTAATGTTGACATACTGTAAATTACAACACTGGATGGTGGAAGGTCTTAAAGCACTAATGGCCATTTGAGTTTGAATGGTCCACAATTTTTTTGATTGCCTGTGAAAGTGAAACATGTACATGTGATGAAATGGAAAGGAAGCTTAGCTGAAATAAGATTCAAATTGCTTTGGATTGACATATTGGGACACTTGTATGGTTCATTATATGTATGAATTTTTGCACAATTTGCACTTTATTTAAGGTCACATATGTACTGTAATACTAGCACTTTATTTTTATTGAGCTTATATAGCGCTTCATCGTAAATTCCAATTACTGTCGACAGAAGACAACTTTGATATGGTATTATAAAGCTGCGTACATGCTATATGAATTTCAGCCAGTCCCCGAGAACTGCCCGGCAAATATTATTAACATCTAATAACAGAGAACCCTACCGTCAAACAAATGGGATAGATACATACAGTTGTGTTCAAAATAATAGCAGTCAGACATCACTAGCCTGATCAATCACTGTTTTTGGTAGAAATGATATTTCTACATGGCAAATCATTTACTAGCAGGTGTAGTAGAGTAATAGAAATCCAACAGACCCAACAGTCATGACATGCATGCTGCTGATTCTGTGTAATTGAATCACTAATTGAAAGGGGCATGTTCAAAATCATAGCACTGTGGAGTACTATTAGTGAGCTCATTCATTCTTTGAAAAACAGGTGGCAAATATTGCCCTTATTTAAGGAAGGAAGGCAAAAAATGTTGTACATGCTGGTTACACTGCATTTCTATCTGAAATTCTGAGGAAAATGGGTGGTTCCAGACATTGTTCTGAAGAACAGCATACCTTGATTAAAAAGTTGATTGGAGAGGGGAAAACATATAAAGAAGTGCAGAAAATGCTAGGCTGCTCAGCTAAAATTATCGCAAATGCTTAAAAATGGCAACCAAAACCTGAAAGACGTGGAAGAAAGCGAATAATTACCATTCAAATGGATAGAAGAATAGCCAAAATGGCAAGGACTCAGCCAACAATCAGCTCCAGGAAGATCAAAGAAGGTGTAAAGTTACCTGTGAGTACTGTTACAATTAGAAGACGCCTACATGAAGCCAAGCTATCTGCAAGAAGCCCCCGCAAAGTCCCACTGTTGAAAAAAAGACGTGCTGAAGAGGTTACAATTTGCCAAAGAGCACATTGACTGGCCTAAAGAGAAATGGCGCAACATTTTGTGGACTGATGAAAGTAAGATTGTTCTTTTTGGGTCTAGTGGCTGGAGACAGTTTGTGAGACGAACCCCAAACACTGAATTCAAGCCACAGTACACTGTGAAGACAGTGAAGCATGGTTGCGCAAGCATCATGATATGGGGATGTTTCTCATACTACGGTGTTGGGCCTATTTATCGCATACCAGGGATCATGGATCAGTTTGAATACATCAGAATACTTGAAGAAGTCGTGCTGCCTTATGCTGAAGAGGAAATGCCCTTGAAATGGGTGTTCCAACAAGACAACGACCCCAAACACACCAGTAAACGTGCAACATCTTGGTTCCAGACCAACAAGATTGACGTTATGGAGTGGCCAGCCCAATCCCCGGATCTTAATCCAATAGAAAACTTGTGGGGTGACATAAAAAATGCAGTTTTTGAGGCAAAACCAAGAAATGGAGAAGAACTGTGGAATGTAGTCCAATCATCCTGGGCTGGAATACCTGTTCACAGGTGCCAGAAGTTGGTTGACTCCATGCAACACAGATGTACAGCAGTTCTCAGAAACAGTGCTTATACAACTAAAAATTAAGTGATTCAAAAGGAAAGCAAAATCTTCAAACATTTTTCAGTTTATATAGTGAATGTTTGAGTTTGTAAAGAAGAATACAAACACTGCTATTTTTTTTAACAGTCTAATATTCACTTTTCTTCAATTTTTTTAGAGGAACAACACAAATTTGATATATTTATCTTTATGTTTTGATTTGGAATAGAATGTGTAGTGTTCCCAATGCATTTGTGTGTATGGAAATAAAAGCTATTAGAAGGATTTTGAGCTTTATTCACTTTTTTCAACACACTGCTATTATTTTGAACACAACTGTACATATGGAAGACTGACAGCATGTATATAAGATTTATATTTTAACAATGAGCTTCAGTTACTGGATTGACTCACAAATCTGACTTATGTTAGCGTTTTCCAGCAATGTCACATAGCCTGTAATATGGCTGGGAATGTGGACCTCGCGAACCTCCTGTAGGTTGCTTGGATTTCGTCCAACCGCCACAGCCACTTGCTGAGGCATGTAACTCTGGTCTGCGGCACACACAGCAATGGATAGGTGTCTCAATACAATGTCAGGCTTCATTCTTAACCTAAGGGAAAGAGAAATACACTGCATATAAAAATATGTGCAAGCATCACAATGAAACAATTATACGGTTATATGGTTTGGCTGGAAAAAAGAACATATGTCCAACAAATCCAAAAAAAAAAAGTTGATCCACAAGTAGGATTAAGAAAAAAAAACTGTTAAAAGGAAATCTTTATAATAAGCCATTAGGCTTCCATAGCTGTCCTCCTTCAAATAGAGCCTTGAAAAAATATTCATACCCCTTGAAAGTTTCCACATTTTGTCATGTTACAACCAAAAAACATACAGTAAATGTATTTTATTGGGATTTTATGTGATAGACCAACACAAAGTGGCACAGAATTGTGAAGTGGAAGGAAAATGCTAAATGGTTTTCAACATTTTTTACAAATAACTGAAAAGTGTGGCGTGCATTTGTATTCAGCCCCCCTGAATCAATACTTTGTAGAACCAACTTTCGCTGCAATTACAGCTGCAAGTCTTTTTGGGGATGTCTCTACCAGCCTTGCACATCTAGAGAGTGAAATTTCTGCCTATTCTTCTTTGCAAAATAGCTCAAGCTCTGTCAGATTGGATGGAGAGCATCCATAAACAGCAATTCTCAATTGGATTTAGTTCTGGACTTTGACTGGACCATTCTAACACATGAATATGCTTTAACCTAAACCATTCCATTGAAGCTCTGGCTGTGTGTTTAGGGTTGTTGTCCTGCTGGAAGGTAAACCTCCGCCACAGTCGCAAGTCTTTTTGCACTCTTACAGGTTTACTTCTAAGATTGCCCTGTATTTGGCTCCATCCATCTTCCCATCAACTCTGACCAGCTTCTCTGTCCCAGCTGCGGAAAAGCATCCCACAACATGATGCTGCCATCACCATGTTTCATGGTGGGGATGGTGTGTTCAGGGTGATGTGCAGTATTAGTTTTCCACCACACATAGCGTTTTTCATTTAGGTCAAAAAGTTAAATTTTGGTCTCATCTGACCAGAGCACCTTCTTCCATGTTTGCGGTGTTCCCCACATGGCTTCTCGCAAACTGCAAACGGGACTTCTTATGGTTTTATTTCAACAATGGCTTTCTTCTTGCCACTCTTGCATAAAGGACAGATTTGTGGAGTGCACAACTAATAGATGTCCTGTGGACAGATTCTCCCACCTGAGCTTTTAGATCTCGCCAGTTCCTTCAGAGTTGCCACGGGCCTCTTGGAGGCTTCTCTGATTAATGCTCTCCTTGCCCAGCCTGTCAATTTAGGTGGACGCCATGTCTTGGTAGGTTTGAAGTTGTGCCATACTCTTTCCATTTTCAGATGAGGATTGAACAGTGCTCCGTGAGATGTTCAAAACTTTGGATATTTATTTATAACCTAACCCTGCTTTACACTTCTCCACAACTTTATCCCTGACCTGTATGGTATATTCCTTGTCCTTCTTGATGCTGTTTATTCACTAATGTTCTCTAACAAACCTTTGAGGGCTTCACAGAACAACTATTTATACTGAGATTAAATTACACACAGGTGGACTCTATTTACTAATTAGGTGACTTCTGAAGACAAATTGGTTCCACTAGATTTTAGTTAGGGGTATCAGAGAAAAGGGGGCTGCATACATATGCACGCCACACTTTTCAGTTATTTGTAAAACATTTTGAAAACCATTTATCATTTTTCTTCCACATCTAAATTACATGCCACTTTGTGTTGGTCTATCACATAAAATTCCAATAAAATACATTTACGTTTTTTGGTTGTAACATGACAAAATGTGGAAAATTTCAAGGGGTATGAATACGCTTTCAAGGCACTGTATTTGCTTTTCTGACTACCTCTGACTATTACTAAGTCCCTGTTTCTGAACAATCATGCAGCAAGTGAAGTCAAATCCCCTGATTCTGAGTTTTTCTGGGTCAGGGAATCCAGTTAATCTCAATAACCACCAGGCAACGAGCAGCAGAAGTCACAAATAGTAGCTTTGGATTTCTCTTAGTACGGGTTTCTTTTAACTATAGTACAAATTTCTAAATTGAAATGTTGATTGATGTGTGTCAAACCTTCCTTATGAAATGCTGATTATCTGCCATGCTGACCCACTGGGGTATTAAACCCCCCAAACATAATTATATTGCAGCTTATCAAATCTGAAGTGGCTGCATAATATTCTTTAAAGCAGAGTTTCACTAATTTTTTTCACTTAAAGTTATACTCAAGTATTTTTTTTTTTTAAACAGCAAACATGTCATATCTACCTGCTCTTTGCAGTGGTTCAGTACAGAGCAGACCAGATCCTCCTCTTCTCGAGTCCCCTGCCAGCACTCCTGGCCCCTCCCTCAGTCCGGTGACCCACAGCAAGCAGCCTGCTATGAGGCATCCAAGCAGCAGGAGCCATTTGCCTCAATCAGGGGTGAGGGTCCCTGGAGAACCGAGGCTCTAGTGGACATCCCTGGATCGGGATGGGGCTCAGGTAAGTGTTGGGGGGGCTGCTACATACAGAAGGTTTTTTACCTTCACACATAGAATGCATTGAGATAAAAAGCCTTGAGCCTTTAGAACCACTTTAAACTTTTATCAAGGCCACCCATAGTGCTGCTATCTTTGGATAGTAATACTGTGCAATACATCACAGCATACAACATTTTGCATTGCACTTGGTGATGTAAGGTTTGGATTCAACTGCTCAGCCATGGAAACTCATTCCATGAAGCTTTCTATGCACTGTTGTGCTAATCTGAAGACCACATGAAGTTTGGAGGTCTTTAGCTATTGATTCTGCAGACAGTTGGCAACTTCTGCGCACTGTGCACTTCAGCATGCACTGACCCCGCTCTGTCATTTTACATGGCCTACCACTTCGTGGCTGAGTTGTTGCTGTTCTCAGTTGCTTCCACTTTGTTATAATATCACTAACAGTTGACCGTGGAATATTTAGTAGTAAGGAAACTTCATGGAGGAACTTGCATAGGTGGCAACCTATCATGGTACCATGCTTGAATTCACTGAGCTCCTGAAAGTGACCCATTCTTTCACAAATGTTTGAAGAAGCAGTCTGCATGCCTAGGTGCTTGATTTTTTTACGCCTTTGGCCATGGAGGTGATTGGAACGCCTGAATCCAATGATTTGGAGGGGTGTCACAATACTTTTGGCAATATAGCTCAATTTCTGCAAAACGGCAGAGGTTAGATAGATTGTAAAGACAGCATCTGGTACACTGTTTATTAACTATTTCAAGGGATGAAAGTAGAAATCTTTACTTTACTACCACATTAGGGGCCTACAATAGTTGAACTTTCAACTACATTTGCACTTTCATTCATATTTTATATCTACTATGTTATATTCTTTATACCGTAGAGCACTATATTTAGGGTACAAGCTCACTTTGGATATCCCAGATTGACTGACACATTGGATGAATGATCCCAGTGAGGGAAGTGGAATACAAAACCAATACCCAGACTAGATATGACAATCTAAATATAGATGGCTGAATGGTGTCAAGGAAGAAATCCAGTGAGAAGACAACTATCAATATTAGCTTTTTCCCTGACGAAGTCACATGGTTGGTGGCGTAACACGTGGGGCGGAGCCTAGTGACGTCATTGCCGGCTTTTTACAGAGCGGGAGTTTTACATTTTAAATCGATCTGTTACTGCTTCTATCATGTGAGTGACACTCTGGAACATTTTTATGTGAAATTAAACAGTATAACACTATGGGAGATGTCCTCTATTATTTCTGTATGTGGAGTTAAGCTGAGAAGAGTCCCATATATAGTGTCATTGAAGGGGTGCCTGTCAAGTGTCAAGAAGAGGACACGTGGATAATTGTTCCATAACTGTTCCATAACAATCAAATATAGGGTACATCAGTCACAACTTAAGGAACCCCTAGCATCCTCGGGAGAAACCGTAGGGTTCCACAAATTCTTGGATGAGAATAGCTGCTTTCAAGTGTAATGGTTGACTGGCTATAAATCTCTATATTCATTTTCTGTATACCAAAACCAACCACATAATATTCCTTACCGTATCCAGTGTGAACGGGCACTGCCATCTGACTGCCAGTATGAGGTTGTTTCTCCATTAGTCATCTTGTCTATATCTGAAGAGTTGGATGAGGTTTCTATGCTACTGTAACATTTTGTTATTGTTTTATACTTCAAAGATTCATCACTGCCAGTTAGAACAGCTGGACATTCTGTAAAACAAGACAAAAAGATCACCAAGTTGTATAAGTACGTAATTACAAGAAAAAACATGTGAAAGCTCATTGGTGAGGAAGTATCCCACTAAACCCATGAAGCGTTATTTCCACCCAAACTGACTCTATAACCTCCATTTTGGTTTTAGAAAACATTCTTTCAGAAAAAGAAAAAAATTATATATAAACTAAATTATGTATTCTCACAGCTTGCCTGGTGACCACTCCCTTTTGAACTTATGAAATGATCTCTAAATATGATTGTATAATATTGTATAGTACTGTGAGACAGAGAGCATATGGGCCAGTACTGTGAGACAGAGAGCATACGGGTCAGTACTGTGAGAGCATACGGGTCAGTACTGTGAGACAGAGAGCATATGGGTCAGTACTGTGAGACTAAGAGCATACGGGTCAGTACTGTGAGACAGAGAGAGCATACGGGTCAGTACTGTGAGACTGAGAGAGCATACGGGTCAGTACTGTGAGACTGAGAGAGCATACGGGTCAGTACTGTGAGACTGAGAGAGCATACGGGTCAGTACTGTGAGACTGAGAGAGCATACGGGTCAGTACTGTGAGACTGAGAGAGCATACGGGTCAGTACTGTGAGACTGAGAGAGCATACGGGTCAGTACTGTGAGCTGAGAGAGCATACGGGTCAGTACTGTGAGGCTGAGAGAGCATACGGGTCAGTACTGTGAGGCTGTGAGGCTGAGAGAGCATACGGGTCAGTACTGTGAGGCTGAGAGAGCATACGGGTCAGTACTGTGAGGCTGAGAGAGCATACGGGTCAGTACAGTGAGGCTGAGAGTGCATACGGGCTGTGAGGAGAGAGCATACGGGTCAGGTACTGTGAGGCTGAGAGAGCATACGGGTCAGTACTGTGGCTGAGAGAGCATACGGGTCAGTACTGTGAGGCTGAGAGAGCATACGGGTCAGTACTGTGAGGCTGAGAGAGCATACGGGTCAGTACTGTGAGCTGAGAGAGCATACGGGTCAGTACTGTGAGGCTGAGAGAGCATACGGGTCAGTACTGTGAGGCTGAGAGAGCATACGGGTCAGTACTGTGAGGCTGAGAGCATACGAGTCAGTACTGTGAGACAGAGAGCATACGAGTCAGTACAGTACATACGAGTCAGTACTGTGAGACAGAGAGCATACGAGTCAGTACTGTGAGACAGAGAGCATACGAGTCAGTACTGTGAGACAGAGAGCATACGAGTCAGTACTGTGAGACAGAGAGCATACGAGTCAGTACTGTGAGACAGAGAGCATACGAGTCAGTACTGTGAGACAGAGAGCATACGAGTCAGTACTGTGAGACAGAGAGCATACGAGTCAGTACTGTGAGACAGAGAGCATACGAGTCAGTACTGTGAGACAGAGAGCAGCATACGAGTCAGTACTGTGAGACAGAGAGCATACGAGTCAGTACTGTGAGACAGAGAGCATACGAGTCAGTACTGTGAGACAGAGAGCATACGAGTCAGTACTGTGAGACAGAGAGCATACGAGTCAGTACTGTGAGACAGAGAGCATACGAGTCAGTACTGTGAGACAGAGAGCATACGAGTCAGTACTGTGAGACAGAGAGCATACGAGTCAGTACTGTGAGACAGAGAGCATACGAGTCAGTACTGTGAGACAGAGAGCATACGAGTCAGTACTGTGAGACAGAGAGCATACGAGTCAGTACTGTGAGACAGAGAGCATACGGGTCAGTACTGTGAGACAGAGAGCATACGAGTCAGTACTGTGAGACAGAGAGAGCATACGGGTCAGTACTGTGAGACAGAGAGAGCATACGGGTCAGTACTGTGAGGCTGAGAGAGCATACGGGTCAGTACTGTGAGGAGACTGAGAGCAAACGGGTCAGTACTGTGAGACTGAGAGAGCATACGGGTCAGTACTGTGAGACTGAGAGAGCATACGGGTCAGTACTGTGAGACTGAGAGAGCATACGGGTCAGTACTGTGAGACTGAGAGAGCATACGGGTCAGTACTGTGAGACTGAGAGAGCATACGGGTCAGTGTTACTGTGAGACTGAGAGAGCATACGGGTCAGTACTGTGAGACAGAGAGCGGGTCAGTACTGTGAGTCTGAGAAAGCATACGGGTCAGTACTGTGAGGCTGAGAGAGCATACGGGTCAGTACTGTGGGGCTGAGAGAGCATACGGGTCAGTACTGGGGCTGAGAGAGCATACGGGTCAGTACTGTGAGGCTGAGAGAGCATACGGGTCAGTACTGTGAGGCTGAGAGAGCATAGGGTCAGTACTGTGAGGCTGAGAGAGCATACGGGTCAGTACTGGGAGGCTGAGACAGCATAAGGGTCAGTACTGTGAGGCTGAGAGAGCATACGGGTCAGTACTGGGAGGCTGAGACTGCATACGGGTCAGTACTGGGAGGCTGAGAGAGCATACGGGTCAGTACTGGGAGGCTGAGAGAACATACATGTCAGTACTGTGAGACAGAGAGCTAATTCATCAGTATTGTGAGACTGAGACAGCATATGGGTCAGTATTGAGGGCATGCGTAGGTGTCAATACTGTGTGTATGCGGTTATGTCTCAGTGCTGTCTGTGTGGTATTGTCCAAGATAGAGCAAAAAAAAAAAAAAAACACAGGGCAAGAGCAATATTTAGTTACACACACACACACACTCTTCAGGTTTATTAATTTGTTTAAAATGTGTCAGTAAAATAAGACTGTGAAATATCAGTTGCAATGGTGACTAGCTGTAGTTTGCTGGCTCCTAACTTTTTCAGATAGCTACTAGATCTCCCACATGCACAGCAACAGAGTATAAAATTATGGGGAAGTATCAATAAAAAACCACCCTGCAGGCCTTGCATTCCAACATAAAAAGAAAAGGAAAATCCCCAGATGTATTATTAGACTGTACCCATGTGTGATAAAAAGCAACTTACCCTTTTCTTTCTTGAGCAACCTCTCCAAATAATCTTTCAGCACGGAGGATCGCATAGTGAAAATGTTACTACAGCACTCTAGAATAGGATAGGGGATCACAGTACTGGGAATTCGATTTCGATGTAAAAAACGGAGCGTCTTAGAAGAATGTAGGTTAAGACGATCCTTTGATTTGGAGAATATGTCGATGAAACCTGGAACAGGGACAAAAAAAAAAAAAAAAGAAAGAAAAAGTTTACTAACGCCTTATTAATTTACACACGTAATAACTCTGATTTCCTGGTATAATGTGTAGAATTAAGAGCAAACCAGAGATTCTCAATTTCTACCGGAATACATAGACATATGTAGTAAATCAAACCTAGTCCTAGAACAAGAGGTGCAAATAAATCCTAAAATAAGAGCTACCATAAAGATATTACCTTTTAACAAGTTTTTTTATGTAAAGCAGTAGGCCTGCTGTAATTTCCATCAATATATATTTTTTGTTTGACTCCAATATAAGGAAAATTACCCGTGTAAGCTCCAGGTCATCACTTTGAGCTTACAGAGTGCTGGGCATTCTTTATCCATTTGACATTGCTAGGTCTCAGCATAGAAATAACCAAGCTCCAGCCCTGTCATGTGGAAGGAAAGAGGAATAAGTTACATGTTCCCCATACCCAAAAGCACTTGGTATTTACTTCTTGTGATCCTCTGGAGAGTAGCATTGGAGCAGGAGGAAGGCAAGTATAAGGAAGATAAACAGAATCAGTTCACCTCAGTTTACATCAGTTTGCACATCCGTTTTCAGTTCAGTTCCATCTACCTCAGTTTACATCCATTTTCAATTCAGTTCAGTTTGAATCAGCTTAGATCAGTTCAGTTTACATTAGTTTACATTAGTCTACATCCGTTTTTGCATCAATTTTTTCTTAGTTGTCACAGAGACCAATCACAGTGACAAAAGTGTAAAACAAAATTGTTTCTAGCTTCAAAACGTACATAAACGGAATGGATGTCAACGGACATCTCTTTCAACAGATATGGACAATGGCTGTTCTGTTTAACCACTTGCCCTCCTGCAGATATACCCCCTTTCCAGAACAAGCCTTTTTTCTTGCCATTTGGCGCTGCACTATTTCAACTGGTAATTTTGCAGTCATGCAATGCTGTACCCAAACAAAATTTATGTCCTTTCTTCCACACAAAGAGCTTTCTTTTGGTGGTTATTTGATCACATGTGCGCTTTTTTTTTGCGCTATAAACAAAAAAGACCAAAAACTTATATTAATTAATTTAATTAAATTAATTAAATTATATTTTTTCACTTTCGGCTATAAAAAAATATATGGTAAACTCAAAGCTAGTCATAAATTTAGGCCAAAATGTATTCTGCTACATGTTTTTGGAAAAAAAAAAAAAAAAAACAATAAGTATATATTGATTGCTTTGTGTGAAAGTTATAAAGTCTACAAACTATGGTATAGATATTGCAATTTACACCATTGTTTGCTATACATCATTACGCTAGTTTAACTTTAATTGCGAGGTCATACAATGCTGTACATAAATGAAATATATGTCCTATTTTCATACAAATAGAGATTTCCTTTGGTGGTATTTGATCACCTCTGTGGGGTTTTTTTTGAACTATAAACAAAAAAAGTCCAAAAATTTTGAAAAAAAAAATGATATTTTGTCATTTCGGTCATAAAAAAATATCCAAAAAACTCAACTCAAATTTCATCATAGATTTATCCCAAAATTTATTTTGCTACATGTCCTTGGTAATAAAAATCCCAATAACTGCATATTAATTGGTTTGTGTGAAAGTTATAGCATCTACAAACTATGGTGTAGATAATGGAATTTACACCATTTTTACTTTCTGACTGCCTATCACATTTCTTGAGGTGCTAAAATACCAGGACAGTACAAACACCCCCAAAATGACCCCTTTTCAAAAAGTAGACACCCTAAAGCTATCTGCTGAGAGGCATGTTGAGTCCATTGAAATTTATTTTTTTCACACGTTTTTGGAAAATAGCAAAAACTTTTTTTTTTTTGTCTATAAATGATATATTGCTCACACTAGCCATAGGTATATGTGGAATTACAACCCAAAATACATTCTGCTACTTCTGATACTTCTACCGAGTATGGGGATACCACATGTGTCAGACTTTTTGAGAGCCTAGCCACATACAGGAGACTAAAATCCAATCCACTTTGAAAGCCGCCTGAAGGTGTGTAAACTTCCTCATTTCCTCTTCAGCATAAGACAGCATGACCTCTTCAAGTATTCTGATGTATTCAAACTGATCCATGATCACTGGTATGCGATAAATAGGCCCAACACCGTAGTATGAGAAACATCCCATATCATGATGCTTGCGCAACCATGCTTCACTGTCTTCACAGTGTACTGTGGCTTGAATGTTTGGGGGTCGTCTGACAAACTGTCTCCGGCCACTAGACCCAAAAAAAAAACAATCTAACTTTCATCAGTCCACAAAATGTTGCGTCATTTCTCTTTAGGCCAGTCAGTGTGCTCTTTGGCAAATTGTAACCTCTTCAGCACGTCTTTTTTTCAACAGTGGGACTTTGCGGGGGCTTCTTGCAGATAGCTTGGCTTCACATAGGCGTCTTCTAATTGTAACAGTACTCACAGGTAACTTTACACCTTCTTTGATCTTCCTGGAGCTGATTGTTGGCTGAGTCCTTGCCATTTTGGCGATACTTCTATTCATTCGAATGGTAGTTTTTCGCTTTCTTCCACGTCTTTCAGGTTTTGGTTGCCATTTTTAAGCATTTGCGATAATTTTAGCTGAGCAACCTGTCATTTTCTGAACTTCTTTATATGTTTTCCCCTCTCCAATCAACTTTTTAATCAAGGTATGCTGTTCTTCTGAACAATGTCTGGAACGACCCATTTTCCTCAGAATTTCAGAGAGAAATGCACTGTAACCAGCATGCACAACATTTGCTGCCTTCCTTCCTTAAGGGCAATAATTGCCACCTGTTTTTCAAAGAATGAATGAGCTCACTAATAGAACTCCATACTGCTATTATTTTGAACATGCCTCTTTCAATTAGTGATTCAATTACATAGGATCAGCAGCATGCATGTCATGACTGTTGGGTCTGTTGGATTTCTATTACTCTACTACACCTGCTAGTAAATTATTTGCCATGTAGAAATACAATTTCTACCAAAAACAGTGATTGATCAGGTTAGTGATGTCTGACTGCTATTATTTGAACACAACTGTATACATCCACGATTTTGCGCACCCATGCTGTCCTGTAGCAGTATTTCTGCTATAGGGCAGACGGGAAGCAGTTAAAAAAAAAAACAAAAGAAGGATTTGAACAGACATGGATGGAGGATGTAAATGGATGATAATCAGTTTACATGTTCCCACCCATAGACATACAGTAAATTGTGAATCCGTCTGAAAAACTGACAGGCAAATCTACAATAGGCTGAATGCCCGTGTGAAAGGGGCCTAAGATGATGGCAAGGGTGCTATTAAAATACACCTGTTGCTTTGCACTTTATGAGCAAAGCACAGGTTCACTCTAAAATTAGCAATTGGCTTAACTCTTTATTATTTTGTTTATTCTCTTCCCCACTCCCTCGCTTCTCCTTACTATTATACACAGCAAACAAAAAACAGTGCTACAGTTTGGCTTCCCAGGATACATCCCTGTAAAACATGTTTTACATGTCCAAACAAGTCAAGAGCCAACATAGTTGGTACAGTGCCTAAAAAAAAAAAAAAAAAGATTCATACCCGTTGAAATTTTCCACATTTTGTTACAACCAAAAACATAAATGTATTTTATTGGGATTTTATGTCATAGACCAACACAAAAGTGGCACATAATTGTGAAGTGGAAGGAAAATGATAAACGGTTTCCAACATTTTTTACAAATAAATATCTGAAAAGTGTGCAAACATTTGTATTCAGCCCCCCGGAGGTCAATACTTTGTAGAACCACCTTTTGCTGCAATTACAGCTGCAAATCTTTTTGGGGATGTCTCTACCAGCTTTGCACATCTAGAGAGTGACATTTTTGCCTGTTCTTTGCAAAATTGCTCAAGCTCTGTCAGACTGGATGGAGAGTGTCTGTGAACAGCAAGTTTCAAGTCTTGCCACAGATTCTCAGTTGGATTTAGGTCTGGACTTTGACTGGGCCATTCTAACACATGAATATGCTTTGATCTAAACCATTTCATTGTAGCTCTGGCTGTATGTTTAGGGTCATTGCCCTGCTGGAAGGTGAACCTCTGCCACAGTTTCAAGTCTTTTGCAGACTCTTACAGGTTTTCTTCTAAGATTGCCCTGTATTTGGCTCCATCCATCTTCCAACAACTCTGACCAGCTTCGCTGTCCAAGCTGAGGAAAAGCATTCCCACAACATGATGCTGCCACCACCATGTTTCACAGTTGGGATGGTGTGTTCAGGGTGATGTGCAGTATAAGTTTTCCACCACACAGTGTTTTGCTTTTAAGGTAAAAAGTTACATTTTGGTCTCAACTGACCAGAGCATCTTCTTCCACATGTTTGCTGTGTCCCCCACATGGCTTCATGCAAATTCCAAATGGGACTTCTAATGGCTTTATATCAACAATGGTTTTCTTCTTCCCACGCTTCCAGAAAGGCCAGATTTGTAGAGTGCACAACTAATGGTTGTCCTGTGGACAGATTCTCCCACCTGAGCTGTGGATCTTTGTAACTCCCCCAGTTACCAGGGCCCTTTTGGCTGCTTCTCTGATTAATGCTCTCCTTGCCCGGCCTGTCAGTTTAGGTGGATGGCCATGTCTTGGTAGGTTTGCAGTTGTGCCATGCTCTTTCCATTTTCGGATGATGGATTGAACAGTGATCTGTGAGATGTTCAAAGCTTGGGATATTTTTTTATAACCTAACCCTGCTTTTAAACTTCTCCACAACTTTATTCCTGACCTGTCTGGTGTGTTCCTTGGCCTTCATGATGCTGTTTGTTCACTAATGTTCTCAAACAAACCTCTGAGGGCTTCACAGAATAGTTGTATTTGTACTGAGATTAAATTACGCACAAGTGGACTCTGTTTACTAATTAGGAGACTTCTGAAGGCAATTGGTTCCACTAGATTTTAGTTAGGATATCACAGTAAAGGGGGCTGAATAAAAATGCACACCACACTTTTCAGATATTTGTTTGTT